ACAGGTGGAGTAAGGCCGCTATAACCCACTTATTGCATTTATTTATTAGCTTGAGTTTCCTCCCACTTTCTTTCATTGCATGTGGATGGAATATCTCTCTAGTCTAGGCTTATTTTTTTATTACGGTCTTACAGACTGGAGCACAATGAGCCCCATATCTGGAGTCTCCAGGTGCTGCTGTAATACAGATAAATAAATGACTGATAACAATACAGCCAGATAAGTAAAATACACTGGCCTGATATGAAATGCTGCATTAGTTAGGCAATTTCCACTCAGTAGCAATTTCTCACTAAGGGTACTAAAACCACCAAAACGAAGTGAGAGTTTTTCAAAATTTTAATTACTGTGTGTGTTAAATTACTCTTTGATATTTTTAACAGGAAATCATTATTAAATATTAAAATTAAACAGACAGATCTGACATAATTTTAAATTGTGATGTGTTAATCCAGAATTTATGAATTATTGACTGGAAGCCAGACACTGATTTATAACCCAGGGGCTCTTGAAAAGTATCCCAGGCTCATAAGCTGTCCACAGGTGACAGATTTGGCATTTAGTTTCCTGCCTTCGCTGAAATCCACATGGAAACTTTTTTCTTTGGTCAGAATCCACCTATTTGGTTCACACACAAAACATGCCAGCTACTGTATAGCTGCCATAGCTTTGGTTTGCTTTTGAGATCCAGCTGGTTTAGATGGCAGCATGGGGATTGATATACACCACTTGCTTTTTGCCAAATCATATTCCTTTTAAGGGCTACACTTTCACACCCATGAAAGGTGTATCTACAAATGGGAGCAGTTCCAGGAGAAGCTTTACCTTTTCTTATTCCTAGTCATACGCTGTGCAGATGTCAAGGCAGATTTGGACTCTGACCAAAAAAGAAAAAAAAGTAACTGTAAAATTACTTTTGGATTTTAGAAAATATTCATTTAAATGCCTTTCTGAATATCAATAGAATACTGTCAACATCCAGCAACAGTTACTCCAAGCTTGCGAAACAGCTGAGTTGTGCAGAGTGGGAAGGAAGATGATGTCATCTTTCCCTCTCTGTTACCATTTAGAGAGGAATATTTTGGACTGAGCCTTGAAAGTAATTAAAACCTATAATGCTTTTGATTTCAAGAGAAAATGCAAATTAATGAAAGAAAATATGTTCTAGGAAATATTTCCTGATAAGATTTTTCCTAACACTTGGAAAATGAAAGCCTTCCTGAAAGGAATTTATTCTTACCAGATTTTTCAGTTGTGTTTTTTTAACCCAAAGAGGTTTTTGGGAAAAAGGGAGGGGGTGCTCTAAAGCATCTGTACAAAGGAAAGCAAAGAGCACCCACTTCCTTTAATAGCTCCGTTTGGAAATGTAAACTAAGCATGTTCTCCTCTCGACTTTTGCATTACAAAGCCAAACGGATTCCTGCCATTCTGCTGTTTCTCATCTTCTGACCTCGGTTTTTCACTGAAAAATTTCACAAGACAAATAGAGGCTCTGTCACAACAAATTCTGGCCTATCTTCTGCTGAATTTTTTTTTAAATGTTTGTTGACTTTTAGTGGCTAGCAGTCATCAGGTGACAACACAAGAGCAGAAATGGGAAAAAAGAACCTGTGTTGGATTTACATCATTGTTCCTGAAGGTGGGGTGGCCATGCAAGTGCACACGCAACCCTACGGGAAACACAGAGCAATGGTCAGTTCACCTTAAAAATCCCCCTCCCACGTGTGCTAAGTGCTGCTGGGCACCTCACCCTACACACCAGGGTGAGGGGCCAGCAGAGCATGCGAAGGTGCCACAAACCCCTATGGAAAAAATTTGGTGCTGCAGCTGAAACTTGGTATTCATTTACCAGCTACCAGCTAAATCCTACCTCACCCCAACATGATGTGAATGTTTTGGGCAGCACTGCCCACCTTGGGGCACCAGGAGGGAGCACTGGAGCTCTGCAGTGGGTCCCCTGCCACCCTTCTTGTCCCCGTGCTAAAGAGCAGCCGCCTGCCTGGAGTGACTGGTGCTGCTAGGTCCAGGGTCTGATTTAGGGACAGACATCTGTCAAGATCACTCCTACATTGGCTGCCACCACAGTGTCACCAGGACAGCCCCCCACCTCCCAAATTGGCTGTGCCCATATTCTCTCCAGCCCTACGCCACCAGCACCTCCCTGCTTCCCCGCATCTTCTGGCAGGTGACAGTGGAGGCTGCAGTGGGGATGTCTTCTCCTCCCTGATGAGTCGTAATGCCCTATGTTTGGGATAGTCTGGCAGAGCAAAGCTGCCCTGCCTGCAGAAGGCTATCCACGCCCCTTCATGCCACCAGAGCAGGGCTTCCACCTGTCAGATGACCAAGGAGGAAAATTCAGCTTGACGAGCAGCTCTCTCCCCTTCAACTGGGAAGGGGGACAGCAGCCTGTCAGCAGAGGGTCAGGGGGCACCCACACCATCCCGGTTTGGTCCAACACTGGCCACAGGGACAATGTTACACTCCATGGCTAGGGACCATCAGAGAAGGACTGGGGAATTTGTGTATTTTGGCACAGAAGACTTCCAGAGCTGAAAGTATTGCACTGGGCTGGGTTTCTAGGAATGGAGAGAGGAAAGGACAGAATTTCCTCTCCTAGAAGAGAGGATATATGGGATCATCTAGATCCTCTCTTTGGTTAAAACAAAGCTGGGCATAACTGAGACACATATTGCAGAAATTACCAAAGGTAAAGGTGGACTGTCTTTTAAATGCTTTACACCTATCTATGTACGTTCCTCATGATTTCAAACCCATAATAAACAAAGAAGAAAACATTATCACCTGCTTTTATGGTTCTCACTTCTTGTTGTTTCTCCTATGGCTTCCTCAGATTCTGACATAAATTTCAGCCTTTGTTTTAGAAACAAGGCTCTGTTTCTCATGGTTAGAAAGAAAAAGATTAAAAGGTTAACCCTAAAGTCAAAATGCAGAATCCACACCAAACAAATTTTATCTTCATTTCACAGCTCATTTTTTTAAGTCTATCTGCAATTTGGAGAGCTGATGCAATATTTTCCATGTCGTAGCCTTTCAAGAGTGGTATATGAAGTACACAAGGAAGGTAAGCGCTAAGCTCACAGGACTCCTACAGCAACATCGTGTGTCCCACAGTGAACACGGGAAGATTTTACAAAGAAAATCATAGCACACTGTGGATAGATAAATACTGTGTGAGTGCTTTGCCTTGCTTCTGTCTTTGACAGCTCATGAGGTAATAAACCTGGCATTTTTTATATTTTTCTAGCTTTTCTATACAGATGGGTGTTCTTGAAGTTCAAGAAAACTCAGGTAATTGAGTGGAACAGCTCAGCACCAGCAACTAGCGTGCACTAATTCTCCTTTAACTCTTTCTTTCTCCACTTAGGCACATTTGTAACGACAGTGCTAAGCAATGAGTATAGTTTATCATCTACTGATTTTATCATTTACATGGTCATTTATATATATAGATAGATACTAGGAATTACCAGGAAATAGAGATATTATATAGCAGATACCTCACTAACTCCCAATCTTAATTTTAATAATTATTCAAAGCAGAACTTTATGTGGACTCTAACTCAGCAGGTTAGACTGTGGTTGACAGACTCCTGCTAGCCCCAGCAAGGTGTGGCCATTCTGGTGTCACTTCGATGTGGAGAACATCATCACTTACTGCCTTGGGTAGCAATAACTTATACTGGAGGCCACAAACATTTTTGTAATATTAGACTTCTCTTAATCCTCACAATTTCATGTATAGCACTGTGGAACCCATCACCAAGCCTGTAAATTAAAGTATTGCTGCTGTAAATAAAATTTTCCCATTCTAATGACACCCAAGTGTTTAATGTGAACGAAAAATACTTTATGCATTACTGAAGACAGTGTGATCATAAAAGCTGGCCAGTCCTGGTAACCTGGTATGCTTTGCCAAGGCACCCAGTGTGCATTTATAGAAATCTGGAACTTACTTGCGCTGACACACCTCTCCTGGGGGCAACAGCCATGTGGAACCATTTGAAAGTGGGACGGAGATGTAAATACACTAAACCTTCATGCTGATTCTTTTTCAATTCGGAACTCTCTATGTGCTTTATTACCCAGTGTTTAGTCACAGTGTCTAAATAAAATAAGTTGTGCCTAAATATCAGGAATCAAGGACCAGCATTTGTGTCATGCTCAGTGGGGGTCCTGACCATACTGCAAAATACATATCTGTGAATTAAAACCACTTAAGAACAAGGGTAACATGCTGCCAATATATTATGTTACTTTGAATAAAAACTTTGTGAGCTTCTTCAGAGGTCCTTGTGCCTAAGTCCCTCATTAGGCTGGTGACAAAATTCATAAAACAAAACAAAACAAAACAGAAAATTAAAACCTGAAGACACTTCCCCTTGTCCCTGTTCCAGGCACCTTCCTGTATTAGAAACAGAATCCATGAATGACTCCAAATGAGAGAGGCTCAGAGAGCAGATACCCAAACAGTTGTGATTTATCAGTGTGCTCCTTTACAAGGCCTTAGGCAATGTTAGACGTCTCTTTTCTGGAACAAATAGCTGTAGATTTGTCTTGTTTATGAATTACTTTAGATATTGTTTTCTGCTGCTTTGCATATTGCCAAAAACAAAGACGTTACAGCTATTCCATTTAAAATTTCTAATTCAGGCTTACAGCCAAGCTTCAAACCAGTTTTGAGGAGTTAGCAGAATTAAGCAATGACCTATTCCTTTGTATTTTGAAAATGCTATTAATTTTAATACATTTGTCAATGTAAGTACTAAGTAAGTTTTAATATGGTCATTCTGAAAAATCGCCTCTCAGAACACTATTTTCCTAAATTACATAGTCTGCAATAAATTATTTTAAACTGTTTTGCATAAATGAAGCAGCTGAATTGAGTTTAAGGCCACAATAAATGATGTCTTTATCTTATTTTGCACACTAATTACTGTAATAACTGTGACACTATTGTTGTCCATCCAACTTTAGACCACAGGGAGGCTATAATTCAGTTAACAGTTTAAAACAGCTCTTCGCTATACCAATCACAGGGTTGCTTGTTTTCATTTAGTATGTTATATTTTGGAATGCACAAATAATTTATTTAAATAAAGGTATATACAAATATGACAAAGGAAAAACTCTACAGAATTCAGTACAATGGCTGCATGCACTGGGAATGGTGCTATGATTTGCTTCATAGGCGTGGAGTATGAACTGAGAACTAGGAAAAGTTTTGACAGTGTGCTGAAAATTCCATCACCACATCGAAGGGTCTTCAAACCTGCAATACATATCATGAATAAAAAAAAAAATTAAACACATTTTAAAGCCCTTTCTGAAAAATTCAAAGTTAGAACTACCTAAAATTTTAATTTTAATAAAGGCAGCAATAAGGAATATATATGCATATTTGCAGTTGAAGATTGTATATGCAACTCCCGTCAAAGCAGAGGCATCCTGGTTGGCCAAATGTCTATGCTTTGGTACCAGAACTTGCTCCTCTATACTGCTACCCAGATGGCATGTTTTTACACCACTGAGACTCACTCACAGCAAAGCTGCTTTACGCCATTAAGTAGCACTTAATGAAATTCAGCTAGAAAACTATATGTTGAAATACAAATAGAGATTTTTTTGCTCTTACTCAGAAGCAAACAGTTTCCAACGAGAATTCACTGAGCCAAAAAAAATCCAAACCCACATGTCATGCTGTTTAGTATCTTCAAACCAAACTCAAGTCCACAGCCACCATCCTAAAATATTATTATAGTATTCCACTGCTCAGTATCAAACATTTGAAATACATGTTGAAAGCAGTGCTGAGGGCAGGGTTTGATCTAGAGGACCTCTGCTTGTGAAGAGCTGTTCTCTCTACAAAGAAAGTCAACATGTAGGAGAACATGGAGAGAGACTAGGGGAAATGCATTTGCCATAATTTTTCCCATCTAAAAGTTGAGCATCTAGTCTTGATTAAACATCTAGTCTGCCCCCACAGTCACTGGAGAGACAGTGACACCTTGAGAGGGCAGTAGATATCCTGCCCATTGTAGGCTGGAAGACTAATTTTGGAGATACTCATCCCTCCAATTGACTGCAAAGGCAGCCTAGACAACTACTTCACACAAGATATCTGAATTTTAAAGAGTTAGTATTAGGAGAGATGTATCCTGTTACTGAGTATTAAACATTTTCTCATGACTCCACAAGATTTACAAGATCAGAAACATGCCACATCACATATTTTTGTCATAAGAACACACTTGTGCTCAGGCCAAGGTGTCTCCTTTTTTTTATTCTGTTACTTCCTATTTTTTAACTGGTTTCTGTAAGAATCTCTCAAAACTGTCCTCATATGGACAGACATACACCTAGGCTTCAAAGTATTTCAGGGTGTATTTTAGTCAGCAAAAGTGAAATGTTAAACCAGACCAGCCAAGCCGAATACAATTAAGTTGTTTATTAATAATACCTCAGTGTTTGGTTACAAAGTTCAATTCAAGAACTCATGAAGTGTGTCTCTCATTGATTCACTGAGTGCAAATTACATCTGCTCCATAAGTGGCTGCATATATAACTATTTCCAAAACATACACTTCATTCATTTAAGCTCAGAATAATACCAGCCTGACTTTAATTCATTTAGCCTGGCTTCCTCCAGGAGGACAGCTTAGGCAGTCATGCTGTAACTGAGCATATTTGCTGTGTGCCCAGCTGCCTGCCCCCGCACAGCTCTCCTAACCTCCCCACCAGTTTTCAAACCCTCTGGACAACTTCAGCCAAGTCAGAGGGAGATACAGACATCTCAGAAACATTAAGTTCCTGATGTGCCACAAAACACAGAACTTGGTAGAAAGAAGATTTCATTACATCCTCACATGGAGGAAAAAGCTGGAGAGGGGTTCAGAATCTATACAGGGTTTTATCCTAGAAAACATATCCATGGGAAACTAGACATCATTGTTCCCAGTGCTCACATAATTGTCACCAATGAATGACAAATACCATATTCAGTGCAAAGTGCTGTTACAGGGGGTATGAAATAAAAATCTGTTTCTCATCAACTCTTGATCTTAAATGCAGACTAGTTTGTTATTTTGCTCATGAGTTTTTGCTCCCTGGCGCATTATAAATAGCATTATTGAAACAATAATAATAACCATAAAGTTTTGTTATGAAGGGGTGAAAATTAAAGAGAGTATTAGACTTTGTACTACCCTATATGTTGCCTCAAATTCATGGCCGCGGAAATTTCCCATTATGTGAGAGCTCTGCCTTGTCATTACCAAATACAAAATAGTCTAATACATTTCACTGCACTCCATGCAGTTTTTTACATAAGCATCTGCAGAGAAAACTGCATCCCCACAGCTGTGGTTAGTCATCAAATCATAAGTCAATGGTCTCCCTACGCGCAGAACTGCAAGTCTCATGGACAACTCCCCCTTGATGGCGGCAGAAATTTTGCTCACCTTTAAGTTATAAGATCATGCCCTACGTTCAGTGCTACAGACTATTATGCTTAAGTACTTAACTGGACTAATTAAGTCTTTGCACAGCTGATGAAAGTGCAGAGCATTTGCTTGTAGACTCCTGAGATGACTACTGCATAAAACATTTGTTTCTGCAGTAGAAGTATTATCAGAGAACTTAGGCTATCAGTAAAGGCTTAAACTGAGCTCATTCGTGCTCGACTGTACGATTAAAACAAATATTTATTTCATAAGCCAAAAAAACCCCCTGCAACTTACTTTTTCAGCATACTTACTTTTCAGCTGTCTAATCACTATCAAAGTATCTTACAGTATAACTGAAGTGTCACTACCTAACTAGAGAAATACAGTAGGTACGTTTGAGGTCCCACTATTTTAAACCAAGGGCAAATGGAAACATAAAGGCCTTTTTCCCCTTTGTAAAACATTAAGTACAAAACCAATGTGAAATACTGTATTTTAAAGATCAGTCATAGCTGTGCATTTGTGTATAAGTTAATGTGTGTGCATATTTACCACTCATACATCTTTAGAGGAAAATTAAAACCTGTTTGCGTAGCAAATGAGTAGAAACATGCCATTTTTGGGGAATCTAATCCATAAGTAAATGGATCAGGCATCAGTATACAATCCTGTGTAATAAAGCCCAATATGGGGCAAGTGCTGTGGGAATGCTTCCCTTCCTTCAAACAGCAGGTATGGCCTGCTCCCAAATTCAGGAAACAAGAAGACTGGACTACGTTATATCTGGTAAGGCATTTCTTGCACTCATAGGTGGCACTAACTCTTAACAAAAAATGAATTAAAAACACTTTTTAAGGACGTGTTTATCCAGCTGTTGGTGCCGTATGTTTTCTCCCTGTGAAACACATTAATTGATAGCAAATTAAACTGTTAAATCTACATAAGAAGTGAAAGCAACCACAAAGCTTCTTCATACATACCTGGACCTAGGAATATTTTCTGTGCTTTCCCTCAACAAGAGGTCTGAGATCAGTGTCTCTGGGCTTGATCTCTTTCCATATCTAAGAGAAGAGAAAAAAAAATATTTTTGGATATGTCAGTTTTTAAAAAATGAAGATTAAGCACAGAACCATTAGACTTTTTTTTTCAGAAAAAAAAATGAATACAGCAGACATAAAGACAACTTTTCCGCAAGTATTTTAACCTGACTTAGTCATGAGATAAAATGTTCACTCTTCATTATTTCTTTGGATCGATTTTCCATAATCATGTTACATTATGGTGTTGAGAAACTATGACTATTTCTCAACTTGATAGCCAGTCCTGGATACTCTAAGGCCTTGCACCTTCCTGATGTGAGCACAGAGGAAAGGGGAAGAAGCTGCGCATGATGTGACCTCTGAACATGTCATTCCTGCCTACAAACCCAGTTCCATCACCTCATTAACTTTCGTATTGTTTTAGATTTTACTGTCTTCTAAATGACGAGTCAATTGTATCTATTAAGTGAATAGAAAACTAACTCAGATATGCCATACTATCCAAGGAATTGGCCAAGATTTTTTAAGATAGGTAGTACATTTGAGGCTGCCCAACACATAGCACATTAGGTTGCAAAAACTGAGCTACTTTTGAACTTACTTTTGAACTACCTGGCCATGGGAGAGAAAACTTTCTGAATCAGAGTTCTTTTTCGACTAGATGGGATATCATCAGCCACCTTTGTCCTGTATTTACACAGCAGCTTTCTATTGCCTTTTTTTTTTTTTCTTTTTAAATCCTGGGTACTATACACTGCTCAAGAGTTAAGAGTGCTGCAATTCCTGGCTCTTGGGAAGGAATTTGCTCTTTCTCTGAGAAAACAGAAGGGACAAGGAGCATCCAGCTTGACAGACACTTAATCGCTATAAGGATTCATTAGCCTAAGAGTGATAACTGTGAGCAAATGCTCCCTTGGTTGGAAAGAATTAAGATCATGGTCTGTAACTTCTGTATGCAATTAGTCTGAATCACAAAGTACATTAACAGATAACAGCTTTGTGAATACTGGTTGAGTGAAATTCTGATTCCAGAGAAATCAAAGATTATTTTATCCACTTCCATTAAGATGTTTCTCCAATGACTTGATATAAATTTTGAGGAAAAAAACCCAAAAACCTTCCAAACTATATTTAAAAATCTAGCAGTTTTACCTGTTGATGGCATAACTTACCAAAAACTGGAAAGATATCTCACTTTTCAATCCTTTTATTCAACCTTTTGTATTTTTACATTTCCTTAATCATTTTAGTACATCAGCTGCGCTCCAGAAAGACAAAGCATCAGTTTCAAAATTTTAACATTAATTTCTTAATCTGAACTGACTGAAAGCAGGTATCTGAAAACAACCAGCCAGACACAGTAAAATGCTATTATGACAACTCAGTCAAGCATGATGCTGAATCAAATACCTTGCACTCCATCACCTCAAAGGGATTTTTTTCTTTCTAGTTCCCTACTCCGATTAATATGGATGTGACCTGGACTTCAACTGAGGGGGAATCTCATTGTTTTAAAGAAAGTGATTTAACAAATCAGCAACTTGCTTCAACAGCTCACACTTAGGCAAAACTCCCACTAATCTCTCTGAAAGCTTTGTCTGAATAAGAAATGGCCAGCAACACTCTAGAGCACGGAGATTCGGTCAAATCACAAAGATGTCTGCGCTGGGAAAGAAAGATATCTTTTATATTAATCCCTTCAGTGCCTTCGCTAGACCAGTGCTGCTCCCTGTGCTGGATGGACCCACCTCGTCCTCACACAGAAAGCTGCGTACAAGGCGGTCACTGACTGCAACCACCCAGGATGGCCAAGGAACAGTTGCTCTTCCTATGTCAGATGCCTGAGCCTCCTGTCAGCCCCATAATTTTGCTGCTGGGAGACAAAGATCCATAATAAAAAAATCTCTTCCTACTGAAGCAAATGCCTTGGGACATCTTTGCTACTCAGCTACTCCAGGCTTGCTCCCTGTCTACCTTGCCCAGCTCTGAGACAACAAGAATACAGAAAGCCAGGCCTTTATTTGCTGTTTGGGAAGCACTTCTACCAGATATTATCACTGTTTTAAAAAAAACAAGGCTCCAAGCTTTGTGAAAATTCTTGGTCAGGCTTTATGCTCAGCTTGAGACATCAGGGCCTTTTTTGGGTATGCTGATAACCCACAACTCCAGCTGAAGTCAAAGGGATTGAAGAGTAAATGTACTTATTCTGATTAGGGACATAGTATCTCAGACTCAGCAAAATCTCAAAGCTTTCTATGAAAATTGGGAGTCAAATCCCATTGGTATCCAATGCCAGCAACAGGGATTTCGGAGGGATTTCAGAAGCATCTTGTAGGCTTGATTCAGAAAACTGTCCCAAAAAACATTCTCTTATGATCTGCTCCCTTCCAGATTAAGGGGTGTTGACATGAACTGGGAGCATCAGTACTGCCTAAGCCAGACACACACACGTAATTCTCTGCCCTGCCTATAGTTCAAGCCATTTTTGGCCTTACTATTTTGCTACAGCACAAAATAACCACAGAGGCAAGAACAAACTATACAAGGGACAAAAGGAAGAGGGCCTGTTGGCAAGAGGGAGTACAGGCAGTACCAAGCAGCAGAAGGAGGAGTAATTCAAGGAGAGACGGGCTCTGAAAAAAGCCCCCTGAACAGTGCAGTAGAGGGGTATGAAGCAAGGATCACAGGATGGTTTTGAGGACAGAGGTGGGACTAATCCAAAGACACACAGACATCTGCAGGGTAGGAGTCTGCATCTGTGCCGGTCACCTTAGGCTCTGTGTACAGTCATGAAGACCTGGCACCTAAGGAACAACAGATCTCATCCAAAACAAATGTCTGAAACAGACCTGGTGACCTGCACCCTACAATACCTGTTTCTCTCAGCTAACCTCAAAGGGGTATAAAGCTGATGGGCACAGATGTCTAAAGCTAAGTGAGATGGATCTGAAGAAGGATCTTAGGAGACAGAGGGAGCAAAGCAGCCACACTGACTAGGGCTAGAGACAAAAGAGAAAGATGGTCTGGAAGGAAGAAGCTTTGTAGGACCTGGGGTAAAGACCCTGCGGATCACAGTAGCTCAGAGGAGCATGACTCTCAAGTGCTTTGGTGAGGCCAGAAGCAGAAGCCAGGAGGATGAGCCAGAAGGTTATTCATAATCACAAAAACATCAAACAAGACTAGACAGATGAACCTGAAGAGAAAAAAGCATCAATCTCATCCTTGCCTAGCATGCTCCTCCTGCTCTGTTTCACCAGTTGCAGAGTGACCAGGCTGCAGGCACCAGGTCTGGTGAGAAGCTGAGCACAGCTTTCTCACATGCCCTCAGGATGAGCAGGGCGTGCCCCTGGACCCCTCCGTCCCCCCTCTGTTGCAGAGCTTCCAGGCAGCACCATGCACAAAAGTCAGAGACAAAAAGCTGTAAGAAGAGAGAAAGCTTTGAGCACATCTGCTGAAACAGAACAAATGATCACTCTTAGACCAGTCCAAAATGCTTCCAAAGTTAGTGATCCATTTTGCAAGTGACGGTGTCACTGCCAAAACAGGGAACCTCCAGGAGCTCAGCTGAGCTTTCCAAACAGAGGTGACAATTTCTTTCTGCGCTGTTAATCCCCCACACAGTGGAAACAGCACACTTTTTGTTTTGTTTTGTTTTTTAAATTAAGTTAACATATGTAGTCAACTTTAAAATGTGTATCATGAAGTTGCCATTGTGGTGGTTTTTTTCTGCCAGCTTTCTTGTACTTGCGGGTAAATTCTGTTCCCTTTAAATATGAGAGGGTGGGTGGGAAATCTGGGTAAAACCTGAAGAACAAAATTTAAATTCTGCATTGTTTTATCCATCAGCAACAATAACTATTTCAGTTCATTTCAGAACCCAGATCCACACAGAAGAATGAAAGCAGGCTTAGTCTCCAAGTTTTGTACTTGTATCCCAGAAATTGGGGAAAAAAAAACCTACACAGTCAACATTAAAGCAAGCACACCGGGCACACACCAGACCTGGAGGTTGAATACAGAAAGGAGGATTTGGTTGATTGGGTTTGGGGCTTTTTTGTTTGTTTCTAAATATGACCTGGTTTCTAAATATGACCTGGTTTTGGACAGGAACCACCTTTGAAATTGGAGATGAAAGAAACAAAAGAAGAGATGAGACACCAGATCCTGCCGCACAAAAGGGAAAAAGGGCAGCAGAGGCAGAAATCAAGGATCAGATTATTTTAGCACTGATCTAGACAAAAAGTTATCTGAGTACACTGTCACACAGAAGCATACCATATACATAAACAAGTTGTGAATATTGCTTTAAAAGTCCAGGACTGAAGAACTGTGCGTCTATCAGCCGCTTCATCTGTGCTACACTATTAGCGCACTGGCAGGCAATGTTATGAGTTTGCTGGGAGAGCTCTCAGTTACACGATGGCCTCCCTTCTAATTTGATTCTTCAGACTTCTGGAGAGACAAATGAAAGCCTAATTTTAGACCTCTCATCTGTTTTTGATATTAAAGAAACAGATAAATATGTCAAAAGTCTTCTGGGTCACGCATTGTTCAGGGACCTCAAGGGAGACTTCAGTTTGTCACACCCAGTCTAAACTGGACAGATGCTCCCAAAGAGAAGGAATTTTATACCAATTTTCCTTTTTTTTTTCAGACTGAGCCTTTCCCCCTACTTTAACAAGCAGGGTTATCCTCAGAAAGCCAGTTTAGAGCAAAGCAGGTTCGTGTCATGCTCTTTTCTCTTTCAGCTTGGGCTTCGGTTCTTACTTGTGGTATTGAGAGAGTTTTTGTTAGGACTAGTAGGTTTTTCAGCACTCGCAACTGCATGAAATAGCTGGCAAAGCACAAAGCATCTGAACGCCTACAACTCCTCAGCAAGGCTAGTGAGGCACTTCTTCTTAGTGAAATCTTCAGAAGAGTTGGTGGCAGTGGGAAACTGCTCCTACTGCCCTATTTCACGTTCCTCAGCTCCCAGATTAGTTATGGTTTTCTCTCCCTTTTGGGGGGCTCTCCCCATACACGCTGCCCTGTGGTTCACACTCCTGCCTGCGAGCCTCTCTGTGCCAGGGCTAGAAAAGGCTGAGGGAGCAGACGCAGCATCAACACCCCTGTCCCTTCTGACAACTGGGATGGTGGAAATTCAGCTCTGGACCCAGAGGCGACTCAGGGGTGCATGGCTGTGGCTCTCTAAAGGGAGTCTGTGCACCATGGCTTTCTCCGGGTGGGCGGGGGAAGCAGGGCGAGACACCCGGCTGCGAGGGGGCAACCCGACTTTCCTCCCCTGAGCCTCACAAAGGAAAAAGGCAGACTGGGGGAGCGGGGAAGGGGGATGCTAGTCAGGCTGCTTTGCCTACCTCTGCCTGGTGATGAGGTTGATGTAGTGCCTCAGCGCCGAGTAGTATCTGGCCATGTCCTCTGCGGGGGCATCCTCGCCGGGACTGTCCGGTTTGGAGGGGTACGCTTCTGCCAGCGTCCCCAGGCAGACCAGCAGCGACAGGGCGAAAGTCAGCACCGACACCCACAGCCTCACGGTCCCCTGCATCTGCACGCCGGGGTAG